AGGTGACGAGTACTATCACCTACATTCCACACAAGTGTAGAAAACTACCCATGAGTCAATTCCTCTGTCTTATTTATCTCCCGCTGTAGAAGTAACACCTTGAATGTTCACTTTTATTTCCAGCTCACCGAACAAGGACTGACTGTTGAACTCTGCAGGGTAGTGCATGCCAGTGTTGGAAAAAAGGCCGATCAAAATGGATCAATGGACCTACTCCACTTATCCTGAAGGGGTTTTGCATGGACATTGAAAATTATATCAGCCCTTGTACATCATTTACCATTTCTCAACAGAAAAGGAAAGATTAATCTCTCCAATGGGGAAAGCCAAAGGGCCACAGACAAAAAAAAAACCTTACAGAGGTTCTAGCAATTGCAGCATGCAACAAGGAAGAAAAAGAATAAAAATCTCATCAAGAAGAAAAATGTGCCTTACAGAGAAATAGAGCCAGTTATCCCCCCCTCCTGTATTCTTTATGATTAGTAAATCTGAAAAAGAGCAAGTAAAATACCAACTTGCAGTCTGGAGCAAGCTCCATTTGTTCTCACTGTCCATTTTTTGCTGCTTCTGGCATAATACCTGATGGTGAGATAAGTGTAAGACAAAAGTGTTGACTTCACAGGAATCACCTGAAATTTGAGCCATTTATGGCCAGCTTTAGATACCTCTAACTCTCACAGATCTGGTCTTTCAGCCATGGCATCAGGACAGAAAGAGTAAGGAATCAATGGACCAGCAGGCCTGTTCTGACTCAAAGGTATAGACCTGCTCTTTTGAAATTTTACAATTGTAGGCAGAAATGAAGGTAGTGTCTGACATCAAGTCCACTTTAACTTTGTCCTCAACATGAGACAATTATATCATCTCCTGTGGAGAAAGCTCGCTAAAGTTAGCCAACACTGATTGAAATTCCACCAGTCCAGAAGGGACCAGCCAAATTTTGATCAGTATATGGGCTCCCCTACTAATAATCAACTTCTGTTGAAGGGACGTGTTGGAAAAGTTTCCAGCGATCAGTGGCACCCACTGATCAGTGTATTCTAACAGTGGCAGGGTTGAGGGGATTCCTCCATCCAAGTGGACAGAGGCACCTGTTTTTTGTTTTTTTTGGTTTGTTATTTTCTATGTTCAGCCAAAAAAATCAACCGTGTTTGGCCAATTTAACGCAGTGTCGGACTGTTATGAGGAGCAACGCAGTGATTTGAGTCAGTTAGTAATGAGAATTCTTAAGCCCTAAACAGTGGCACAGATCTAAACGAGTGCCATATGGTACACTCAGCACCGCATGATATATCTCAAATGGAAATGAATCTAATTCCCACAGCAAAATCTGTCAACATATATATGAAGGAATAAAACAGGCAACTGACTCTGCCAAACAATTCATCTGCAGAGAGTCATTTGTTTATTTTATTCTGAAGCACATGACTTGACGGATGAGTTCACTGCAAACAAAAATAATATAACCCAAAAATATCCCTGACTTTAGTCAGATTCATTTTCATATTCTTAGCTTTACATGTTCATTTATTGGATATGTACGTCATTGCCTTACTGGCATTATTCAGGCCCCTATAATGGGGCAAGGGGTTGGAGTGTCAGACACTACTTTACTGCAGACAATTATTCAATATGGCAGCTCCCAGAAAGATTTTCACTATTACATTGGAACCGTTTGTTCACACACTAACCCAGGGTTTCTCAGCCAGGATTCCATGAAACTGTAGGGTTCCTTCAGAGGTTACAAGGAGTTCCTTGACCAATGAACAATTTCTTCCTCTCAGATAAGTTCCCATTGACAACATTGAATAGCAGGGGTTCCATGAGGCCAGAAGGTTATTTCAAGGGTTCCTTTATGATGACAAGGTTGAGAAAGGCCGCGCACTACCGCCTTCTGTACATTCAATATCAACCCTCACACAATCCCTCTCTGTAACCCTAAGCCCCATGCTCCTCATATTAATCTCCCTGTAACCCTAACTACATACCCCTCAAAGTAACCCTTCCTGTAAACCCTACACTAGAGATCAGTAAGTTCCATCACCTCTAAGTGTCGCACTTTATACTATATATCTGCAGCAGGTCTTTTCTTTTTTTTCTTTAATACAAAGGTGTACTCACACTGGGCACTTGAACTGAATTGTGTCCATGTTCGATGTCCACTCCCCTACTGGTCTGCATTAAAGTGGTTGTAAACCTTTGAAATGAAAAATGAGCAAAGCATATCCCTCTATGGTTTTTACTTGCCTCGATACAAAGCACTTAATGTGGTTCCTACCTGCTCTTTCTTCTCTCTGATATGTGAGTCAATTCTGACAAGTTATGCTTACTCCATAGAATCCCAGGAGACGCTCCCCCTCCAGCACACAGACAGTGATTGACAGCCTTAGCTGTGCATGTTTTCCTTTTGAGACTGTGTTATTTTTTACACATGCATTTTTAACTTTTTAAATGGGTTTTGTGTTTTTTTTAATGCTTTTCTTGGCCAAGTTGTTGTTGAAAAACACATAAAAAATGCACAACATGCTTTTCTGCAGTGTCTCCAATGAAGTCTATTGATCCAAAAAGCACAATTTTGTGTTTAAAAAAGTCCCTGACCCTTTCCAAAAATGCAGCAGCTGAAAAAAAGTATAGATGTGAATGTGTCCCTTAGGAAACCATGTTAAATGGTCTGTAGTGTGTTTCTGTAACCAGGCCTTGCAGTGATCTTGCATAAATGTTGCAGGCAGAACAACCTTGTAAAAGAAAGTTTATGCTTACCTTTCCAACTAGGTATGAATAAAATCATCACTATTTTAGAGATATAACCCACATGGAAGAAAACATATATTTCAAATATATTTTAAAAATATTCTTCCCAAATATATTGCCATATACTTGAAATGATACAATTTTTGCCATATTCAATATATTTCAACAACTCTCTTGTATTGAACTGTATTGTTGCTGTATTGTCTCCCATTATATTGTAAAGCACTGAGCAAACTGTTGGCGCTATATAAATCCTGTATAATAATAATTATATATATACTGCATGTTGAAATGCGGTTTTATTACAGAATATATGAAAACTATTTTTAAAAATACATTTCAAATATACTGTATGTCTTTAAAAATACAGATCTACATTTTTGGAATGCATTTACAAATATATGTAAAAATATATGTTTAATTACTTTTTATATGTTAAAAAAAATCTGAAGAATATATTTAAAAAAATATATATTTTAAAAATATATATTTTTTTAAATCTATTCAGATTTTTTTAACATATAAAAAAGTCATTTTAACATATATTTTTACATGTATTTGTAAATGCATTCAAAAAATGTAGATTTGTATTTTTAAAGACATACAGTATATTTGAAACGTATTTTTAAAAATATTTTTCATATATTTTGTAATAAAAACGCATTTCAACATGCAGTATATATATTTATTGAAATATATTTTGAAATATATTGAACATGGCCAAAAATTTAGCATTTCAAATATATTTTTCTTCCATATGGGAAGGCACTACTGCTATCTGACTCTTCTTGGTTTGTCTCACAGCATGTCCCTGCTGGGCACTGCAGTTCCTCCTGCCGGCTGCTAAGCCACTACTAAACACAGCAGAACTACAATACAGGAGACACCACTGTACCCAGCAGGGCACATGCTATCCAACAGACCTGGAAGTATCCATTAACAGTGGTGCTTTCATCTGTGTAAGAGAGTAAAACCACCACCCTTGAGGCAGCTAAGCATAAACCTTCTTTTACATGGGGTCTACCACCTACATTTTTATATAAGTGACAAGACAATTTTTTATTTTGTGCAATGTGATTAAGGTCTCTAAGGATATAGTAAACTGCTAGGGCTTGGTTGTAGGTCTGGAACATGGGTGCACACATAAAAACTCATACAAAACTGGAAAATAAGATACATCACTGGAACAAGCCCTGTGTAGTTTAAAGTAGTAGTAAAGCAACTAGTTAACTGTTACCTACAACTTTTCTGTAGGTAAAATGAATATCTTTTTTTTTACCCTCTCTCTCGTTCTCATCTTCTTCCTTCTGCCTCTTCTTTCTCCTTTTCCTACAAATACGAGTAAAAATGTGGCTGGCTCCCTTCCAGTCATAGGATGGGGCGGTTTAGACATATAGGTGTCTGTTTATGACACAGAGAATAGCTGCAATTCAGGGGATCGCAGCTATTCTCTTGTCATTCACAGTTTATGACACTCAGGAGATCAGTGGAGAACTGTTCAGCTCTTCACTGGAGATCTGTGTTCTCCCTCCAGATTCTCCAGCCCAGAGCTGGAGAATCGGAGGAACTGCAAACTAAGCAGCTATAATTTACCTCTGTTTAGTAAACTGATTTTTTACTATAATCTCACAAGATTATAGTAAAATGAGCCGTTTTCCAGCGTTTGGAGACCGTTCTCCAGCGTTTGGAGACCGTTCTCCCTTTGTTTGGAGAACTGCTTCATAAAAGGCATTCACAGGAGAACTGTGTTCTCCGAGAATGCCGGAGAACTGAGCAGCGAGCTATTACTGCTGGTTCATAAACGGACACCATAGCACTTTGCACCAATCTTGGAAGTTCCTTATGAGTTCTCCCTTACTTTGGTGCTTATTTGTTTTTTTACTCATTACATTTTTATACATATGTAATGTGTCTATGCTATTTTGCTTTAAGGTAAGTTTTACATTATGTGCTAGCAGGGCTTAAAATTTCAAGTCCTGAGCTACTAGCCAGGCCTTAGAGTTACTCGCCACCAACAAACAAACACAAACAGAGACACCTGTACACACACACAGACATGTACATACACACATACACACACAGAAACATGTACACACACGCACAGAGACACATGTACACACACACACACACATGCAGACACATGTATACACACACAGGCATGTACAGACATGCATACACACAGATACATGTACATACACAGAAATACACATGCACAGACACATGTACATACACACAGAGACACATGTACATACATACACAGACACATGTACGTACATACACACAAAAACACACACACACACACATGTACATGCACACACACACAGACACATGTACACACACACAGACACATGTACACATACATACATGTATATACATGCAGACTCATGTACAGATACACACATACACAGACACATGTACAATTGTACATGCATACACAGACACACACAAACACACACATGTACACGTACACACACACACACACCACCACCCCCCCCCCCCCATAAAACGTTGCAGTACTTCGTTGTTCACTCACAGATCCGGGTACTGCACTCTAGGGGGAGGCAGAGAGCACAGCACACACTCCTTGCTTTGCTTTCACTGTGCTCAGCTTTTGAGCAGTCTGACGGCTTCTAGTGCCAATGACAGATCCGGCCTGAGCTCCGAGCGTGCTCAGCAAGACGGCCCTGGGGGACACACTCACCCCACCATAATTTCCACTCGCCATTGGCGAGCAGGCAAGTGGAAATTTCAAGCTTTGTGCTAGAATGACGGTTACTACTGCTTTAACTACTCTAGTATTCTGAAAGTGGAATGTCGATCCAATAATGTGAAGGTTCTGCTGGGTTGCAGAAGAAACAGCATGTTTCTTGCGTACAAATATTTTATTACAGGGTAATTTAAAAAAAATCTTTTTTATATAGATCATTTAGCTTTATGGAAAAGTAATGATAACTGGTGCTCTGATGTCTGGCGGGGTAATAATCAAGAAGCAGCAGGAGAGGTTGGGAAAGCACATAACTGGTGAAGCAGGAGCACGGAGATGCTTACACTGAAGGTCCTCAGGTACAGCTTCCACTCCAACAAGAAGAACAGTAAGCAGCACAGTAGAGACATCACCATATCTCACTCCAAATCTGGTATGACTAGCAGTCACAGGCACGTACCACTCAGTGCAGATATACAGCTATGAGGCACAGGAAGTGTTCTGCTAACTTATAGAGGAAATCTATACAAATACAAACATTTATCAGGGTATTAGGCACATTTAAAATTTCTAAATGTTCCTTATAGCACAGCAAATCTTCACTTTTTGAAATCAAGTCCAATTCAAGTTAAACATTACAATTATAAGCCTAAATACATTGTAGGTGAAAATATCCTGCAGTTTTCTCTTAATGTAAACTGCAAAGGTTCTCTTTCATCAGAGGAAGCAAATGGATGAGTAAGGAATCAGACACTTTAAAATGGCTGACCTTGCAGTGAGAGTATTCCGCAGGTATCCCTCCAAGATTGCTATTCAGCTCTTGGTATCAACCATCCAGCTGGCTTTGGGGATATTTACAGCGCAAGCTCATTTGCAAACATGTCCCTTGCTCTGAAAATCTAATTAAATAACTGGAACCCCCTGTTGATCTTGACAGAAGAAATCAATCAGTGGAGAAAGGGAAGTGTCTTCTGTGTGTTCTAATAACTATGCAGAGAGAGAGCTGCCCATTGTTTACCTCTCAAGGTGTCACTGTCACAGAAAAGAACAGAAACAAATACACAAGTGACACTGAATCCTGATATGCAGGATTACCTAGTCCCAGGCATAGGGTCCCCTTCTTCCCAGTATAACCTTGTTCACTTTATAATATTGCTGAATGGAGGTTTTTGACTTTATATACAATCTTTCATTTTATGGGCAGCTTTTCCTTAAATAGGGGAGACAACATTCTGTAATGTTGGCTGCAAGCAGTAGACTGAGGTTGGCCATGAAACGTTACCAAAATGGCAGATGCTTAAAGCGGTAGTTCAACCCTCACCCTTCCCCACAAGCTAATGCCATACTGTCCTAACATGCATCTAAATCAAAGGGGGTCTTCTGTGCTGAGGGAGATGTTTATGGGAAGGCTGGAGGAGTATTTAAACTAGGATTGGGGGGGGGGGGTGAATTAGATTATAACGGGCAGACAGGTTAGACAGGGATTAGTCCCTATTGGTGGATGGAATGGGGAAAGATGGGGGGAGGGCTATGGCTAGGTGATAAGAAGATTCCCATGTTACAAACAACCACTGGAAATGGTACTCTTAGTACCAAAATAAAAAAATTGCAAAATGTGTGTACAAGATGAGACAACGAATTAAAGTGTTTGTTCATCAATGCCAGAAGTCTTCCAAACAAAATAGGTGAGTTGGAAGCCTTGGTGCATAAAGACAAACTATGATTTAATTGGTATTGCTGAATCTTGGGTTAATTCTTCACATGACTGGGCTATTAATATTCCTGGCTATGTTCTCTTTTGGAGAGACAGATTAAATAGGAAAGGTGGTGGTGTCTGTCTCTATGTGAGAAGTGAACTCAAAGCCAGAGTGAAAGAGGACCTAGTTGATGGGAGAGTGTGATTGTCAGGGATCGGAGTGTGACCATAAATGTGTGGACTGACACAGAGAAGTAGCAGGCTTCAGGAACACAGGCGTAGTCAGGGCTGGAGAGGTGGAATGGTCAGGCGGGCCGTAAGGTGGGTCTCTAGTGACCCACAGACCAGGATTCCCCAGGGTGCGGAGTCTAAGCCCCAGTCTGCCTTTTCACCAGAGCCGCTGATGGTGGGGATGGACTTGGCGCAGGACTGAGACCAGGTCGCGGCCCCTGAGTGCACCCAACTGTGGTAGAGAGGTCCGCCGAGGGTATGTACCGGGGGAAAACCTGATGTGAAGGGGCTGGCAGGTTTGGACAGTAGTGACTGGATCCGTGCGGGATGGATGGATCGTCTGGGTAGCGTCAGGCATAGTCAGGCAGGCTAGGTCAGCAACGTGCGGGCAGTGAGGTACCGGAGGAGCAGGCAGAGAATAGTCAGGGTCACAAGCCGGGTTCAGTAACTCACGGGCAGCGCGGTACAGAGGATCAGGCAGTAGGATGGTCAGGCAAGCCATGGGTTCAACAGGAGACAATCAGCAGAGGTCAGGATTAAAGCAGGGTCAGCAACTAGGCAGGAACACAGGATACCAGGTACAGGGGCTCATGGGAAACATACACCAAGGCACTGACTGCAGGTCTGGCCATTCCTTAAATACACCTCCTGCAATCAGCCCCAGGTGTTGGCTGATTGAAGGAGTGAGCTTCTGGCTGCTGAGAGCACCCGCTGGTCAGCCCTGGTACTGCAGCCCACGCAGCAGGTGAGTCCCACCACCAGTGCTGAGTCCATTCCTGACAGTGATGAGGCTGAAGCATTATGGGTGGAACTACACAAGGGGGTGTGTACTACAAAGGTAATCATTGGAGTTTCTTATAGGCCACCCAGTGTAATTGAAGAGATGGAGACTCGGCTCCTTACAGCAATAGAAAGGGCTGCAAGGACTGGGACAGTGAAAATAATGAAGTAATTTATCCATCCATAAATTGACTGGAGTAATGGCATTGAACAGTAAAAGGGCAAAAATGTTTAAACCTATTACAAGACAATTTTATGGTACAGTGCATATAGGCCCTGACTAGGAATGATGCTCTGCTGGACCTGGTAATCTCAAACCATGCACAGCTTATTACTAATGTTCATATAAAAGAACATCTGGGTTGCAGTGACCACAACAGGATTTCATTTAATGTTAGCTGTAAACAACAAGCACATACTGGAAAGATAAAAACACTCAACTTTAAGAGAGCAAATTTCGCAAGGATAAGGGCTGCTCTCCAAGACTTAGACTGGGAGGGAATATTGGCATAGATGGACAGGACAGAAATGGGAATTCTTCAAAAAGACTGTATGTGAACACTCTGCAAAATATATTCCCATGGGCAACAAGTTTAAAAAGCTAAAAAATTAAACCTATGTGGCTCACGCCAAAGTTAAAAAATCTATAAGTAATAAGAAAAGAGCTTTTAAAAAATATAGGAACACTATCATCATTTAATTGTTACAAGGTATATAACAGAATATGTAAACAAGAAATCAGGGTGACTAGGGACAGGGAGAAGGCAAATTTATTAAATACCTTCTTCAGCTCTGTGTATACAAAGGAGCATGTTCATGTCCATAATGGAGATGATATTGACACAGCCCCAAATGATCCACAATGGATAAAAATTGATATGGTCTAAATATTTAGACAGAATAAAAGTGAATAAAGCACCTATACCAGATTGCCTAAAAGAATTGAGCTCTGTCATTTCAAAGCCATTGTTTCTAATTTTTAGGGACTCTTTAATGACTGGCATAGTACCACCACTGGATTGGCGTAAGGCTAATGTGGTGCCAATATTTAAAAAAAAGAATTAAAGTCTTTGCCAAGTAATTATAGACCTGTTAGTTTAACTTCCATAGTTGGGAAGATACTGGAGAGTTTAATAAAAGACCACATAGATGAGTTCTTGCTGGAAAAAAAATATTTTAAGCAACAGACAGTATGGATTCATGAAAGACAGAAGTTGTCAAACAAATCTGATTTCTTTTTATGAGGGGGTGAACAAAACCTTAGACAAAGGAGTGACTTTGGACGTGGGATACTTGGATTTTTCAAAAGCGACAAGCAATTTGACACAGTTCCCCACGCATGGCTAATGTGTCAGATAATGTTTACAGGCTTGGAAAAAACAGTTTGTAAATGGACAGAAAACTGGCTAAAAGACCAAATTCAGAGGGTAGTGGTTAACGATTCATACTCTGAATGGTCTAGGATTGTCAGTGGTGGGACTCTTTCTTTTTAATATATTTAGAAACGATATAGGGTCTGGGATTAAGAATACCATTTCAGTCTTTGCAGATGACACCAAGCTGTGCAGTGGAATAACATCCTTACAGGATGTCTTCAATTTACAAGCCGACCTCAATGCACTGTTTAATTGGGCAACTATGTGGCAAATAAGGTTTAATGTTGATAAATGTAAAATTATGCACTTGGGGGCTAAAAATATGCATGTATCATACATACTGGGGGGGGGGGGGGGGGGGGTACAACTGGGGGAATCAATGGTGGAGAAGAATCTGAGGGTTCTAGTACAGCATAAGCTTAATAATGGCATGCAATGCCAAGCTGCGGTTTTCAAAGTGAACAAAATCATTTCTTGTATTAAGAGAGGTAAAGACTCCAGAGAGAGATATCATTTTACTGCTATACAAATCATTAGTAGGACCTCATCTGGAATATGCAGTTCAGTTTTGGGCACCAATTCACAAAAAGAACACTGAGAACTGGAGAAAGTACAGAGAAGGGCAACCAAACTGATAAGAGGCATGGAGGAGCTCAGTTATGAGGAAATATTAGAGGAACTGAATTTATTCTCTCTTGAGAAGAGGAAATTAAGGAGGGATATGATCAACATGTATAAATACATTGGTGGCCCATATAGTGAACTTGGTGTAGTGTTTTTCACTTTGAGGTCATCACAGAAGATAAGGGAACACTGTTTACATCTGGAGGAAAAGAAATGTAATCTCCAAATATGTTAAGGTTTTTTTTCACAGTAAGATCTGTGAAAATGTGGAATAGACTCCCTCAACAGCTGGTTCTGGCCAGCTCAGTAGATTGCTTTAAAAAGGCCTGGATTCTTTCCTAAATGCACAT